ATTTTTGAAGAATATTTTCAGAAGAACTATGCCAGCCATATTCGGGGATTTTTAAAGAATATTTTCAGAAGGACTATCCGAGTCATAGGCGTGGATTTTTAAAGAATATTTTCTGAAGGACTATCAGCGCCATAGGCGTGGATTTTTAAGGAATATTTTCTGAAAGACTATCCAAGTCATAGGAGTGGATTTTTAAAGAATATTTTCAGAAGGACTATCCGAGTCATAGGCGTGGATTTTTAAAGAATATTTTCTGAAGGACTATCCGTGTCATATTTTTAAAGAAAATTTTCTGAAAGACTATCCGAGTCATATTTTTAAAGAATATTTTCAGAAGAACTATCCCAGCCATATTCGGGGATTTTTAAAGAATATTTTCAGAAGAACTATGCCAGCCATATTCGGGGATTTCTAAAGAATAGTTTTAGAAGGACTCTTCTACGGTTGAGTCGACTTCGGTGTTCCTTCAATGAATGTTCTTTCACCCCCATACACCACCATTATCATTCCACCCTCCTTTGCGAAACAAAGGATCTCTTAATAAAGATTTAAATTATTTTTATTTCCTAACTGCTTTTTTGAAATTGTGTTGGCTGTTGTGTACCGATGCTCCTTTAAAGTGCAACATCCTTGAGACAATAATAACAACAACAACGAAAAGGACCAACAGAAAACCGACAGGATCCAACTAAACAGCTGTCAGCTGTTTGAAATTTATATTGAATTCCTTACTTATTTTACTCTCTCGCATACTCTCCCTCATATTCCTTTTCTCTCCCGCTCTCTCAATGGAACAAAAGGTACACCCAGGGGTTTTTGGAGTATGTGGAACAGCCTACATTTGTTTCCTTTCTCCATGACGGCTCTTCCTGACATCAAATGTTGGCGGTCCGTTGCCTGATGACGTTGTTGTTGATGCTGCTGATATTGTCTACAGTGTTTTCTGTGTGGTGGTGGTAATGGTAGTGGTTATAATGTATGGCTCGTGCCACATGCCAGCAAATTTGTATTGGCATCCATGCAAAAACAACAACAGCGTAGTAAACCGGCATCATCGTCCTCGTCACACAACCAGCCTGCCTGCCTATAAGCGCCGCCATACGGGCCAACAACATTTGTTTCATTTAATTGTCTTAATTGTTGTGGCAGTTTGTCTGTCATTCAGATGTGTGTGCTGTTGTTGTCCTGGAGAATAATAAATACCTGGTTCCATATTCCTTGCCTTACCTTGCTTTTCTCTTTTTTTGTATTTCATTTCCAACAGGAAAAGGTGTAAAACGGAAAAGAGATGAAGATGATGCCATGAGTGGCATTTGTATGCTGAATTGCTACAATTTCGAATAGGACCCTAAGATATGTCGCTTTTTCTGTTTTTAAGCCGTCTGTCTGTCTTACGTGCATCAAGCCTAAAGCTGAAAACACATCACATCATTTTGGCCACATTTGACATGTGCTGGAGATAATTTGCAGACAATGACAGAACAGCAGCAGCGACAATACAATGCCCCTGGTTTTTAGTTGATCCTTTGATATATGATTTCTATGATTAATAATTTTATTTTGTTGACATTTTAAGCAAAATCGTATTAGGGAATTGTTCTTTGCTCTTTACATTTCTCTGTTGTCTGGGCTATATTAATCCATGTGTGTTATAATGAAATATAAGAAATTTATATCGCCTTAAAGATGTTTTTAATTGTAATCAAATAGTAAATATGAATAAGAGGCATGACTAAATACCGGCATATCAAGAAAAAATTATTTTTAAAGAAAAAATGCTTTTGAAGGATTATCAGGGCCATAGATGTAGATTTTTAAAGAATATTTTTAGAAGGACTATCACAGCCATAAGCGTGAATTTTTAAAGTATATTTTTAAGGACTATCACCGAAATAGGCGGGAACTTTTAAAGAATATTTTTGAAAGACTATCAGACCAATAGATTTGGATTTTTAAATAATATTTTTAGAAGGACAATCCAGACAAATGATGATGGATGTGTAAAGAATATCTTTTGAAGTACTATATCACTGATAGGCGTGGATTTTAAAAGAATATTTTTAGAAGGACTATCACAACTATAGGCGTGGTTTTTTAAAGAATATTTTCAGAAGGACTATCAGAGTCATAAGTGTGGAGGTTTAACAATTATGCATTATCTATTTTCACAATAATAGGCGGGGATTTTTAAAGAATATTTTTAAGGACTATCAGACCAATAGAATTGGATTTTTAAAGACAAATTTCAGAAGGACTATCACTGCCATATTCACAGATTTTTAAAGAATATTTACAGAAGAACTATCACAACCATAGGCGTGAATTATTAAAGAATATTTCAGAGGGACTATCACAGTCATAGGCGTGGATTTTTAAAGATTTTTTTCAGAAGGACTATCCAGAGAAATGAAGTTGAATTTTAAATAATATTTTTAGCAGGGTTATCAAAGTTATGAGTGTGGATTTTTAGGAGGTCTATCGGAGTCATAAGCGAATATTTTTGAGATTTTTGATAGATCACAGCTATAGTCGTGGATTTTTAAATAATCTTTTAAGGGGGTTATCAGAGTCTTAAGCCTAGGCGTGGATTTGTAAAGAATATTTTCAGAAGGACTAGCAGTGTCATAGTTTTGGAAGGTCTGTCATACTTTTAAGCGCGAATTCTGAAGGCATATTTTTAGATGGTATATCAGAGGTCTTATTGTTCATTTGTAAAGCATACTTTTATTGATTTATCGGACTTTTAAGGAGGTCTATCAGAGTTATAAGCGTAGATTTTTAAGGCATATTTTTAGGCAGTCTTTTAAGTGCATATTCATAAATCATATTTTTAGGAAGTCTATGAGAACAATTTAACATACTAACTCGTGTTGTGTTGCATACACAACCACAAGATTGCATCGTCTATTTAAAAACCAGGGCTATTATAATTTAATCGTGATTATTGCTGTGATTACTAGTTTATGAATTGAGTAAAGTATGTTTTCTATTGTAAAAAAAAAAATAAATCCACTTTGAAGGCAGTGAGCGGAGCAGTATAGTCTCTCTCTATCTTTCGGCGGATCTATATTCCGAGCCTAGGCAATATTTGCACCCTCTTTTCCGAATCATGCTTTCCGGATAAGATACAAATTTTGTTGTTTAACACCCAATTGTCGTGGCTCATATGACCTGCTAAATATTGACTGATCATTATCGGAACATCCATACTAATTAGTTGTCAGATTCCCTTTCACGTAGAAAATTTGTGATGTTCGGCTTATAATTGAGGTCTAAAGCGACAAAAAATAAGATTTTAGGTCCATTTCATTTCCTTAATACCATCTGATCATCACCGAAAATTATAGGTCCTTGAACATAATCAGAAATTCGAGTAAAATTTCAAAGAGCTCCCACTTCTGAGAACATACAACAATATATTTGGTATCAATTTAGAGGTCAACAACTCCTCTTGGATATTCAGTCACCATATTCTGTCACAAATTCTCATTTCTGCCCTTCTGGGGTAAATTTATACACCATATTGTATTTTTTGGATCCATTTGACCTGCTAAATATTGATCGATTATCATGAAAAGAATCATGCCTGTTTTTTTGTCCAGATCCATTCTGCGTGAAATGTTCCGGTGATAATTATAACCATTTTTAAGATAACTGATGTAGATATATCCCTGTCACTACCCCTGGAACCAGATTTTTATATTTATACCCTCTAAAGGTGGAGTGTATATTAAATTTGTCAATCCGTTTGCAGCACCGGAGACCCCATAAATTCCTGATCAGAATATAATTCTATTTCGATTTATTCGTGTCCATCTGTTTATATAACGATAGAGATCGCAATATTAGATATGTCTTTTTCGGTATATTCAAGTTCCTATCATAACATGCGTTTTCTCCTTATGGTGGAGGATATAAAAAGTTCGAAAGGGACCAACTTAACATTGTTTTAACTTGTTTGAAATAACATGTAAAACTATTATGCAGATTTCGGTTCTTTTCCAATTTCATTAAGCTTGGGTATAGTTCCCATATATCCATGACATAACCCTTAAATAAAAGTCCCAATCGATTTTAGGTACCTTGAATGTCTCATGGTGTAGGCTATTGTTAATTGTTATTTAAAAACATTTTATAAGTTTCTTATTTTACAAATTTTGAGTATGTCCCATCACCAACACCTGATTCAAAATACCTTCAAGGACTTCAATTTTTCTTTGTAGTCCTTTTAGTATACAAAATTTATTTTTTGTTTTTGTATCACTTCCCTTACAACAACAGGTTATCGGTATAAAAACCAAACCCAAACACATGCCATATGTCGATCGATCCCCATAGATAATTATAAACGGATATTACAAAACAACTGATAATAATTATCGCTGTCGATATCATTAGGTAGACGATGGGCATCCTGACCGGCACACACACACACACTCACACATTTACCTTTACGTCTAACGATTGTTCAATCCACGTTACACGTGGAAATTGTGTGGAACACGTGCTATGATGGCTATAGTTTCTATTTGAACACCTTTTGTCCTTTAGATAGGATGTATTGTCGTTTTGTTTTGTTGTGGTTTCCTATGAACACAGCTGTCAAAATCGAATGGAAACTAGGAAAAAGGGGTGTTATCGTCCCCCAAAAAATGTAGAATGTAATACAAAAAGGAACTCCGTTCTGTAATTACAAATTGGCGAATGCCAATGTTATTGGAATGGTGTTGCAGCACTCATACTCTACATACATATGTATGTAGGGTAATTTGGCGCACTTTGAAAATACCAATAATGAACAGTTTAATTGCATTCATATGAAATTTGATAGGCTAGGTAATTATCTTGAAATCGATATGTTTTTTATTATATAAACATGAACATACATATGCGTATTTTAATTTTTAGTGAGGGAATGGAATTTAAATTACAATCTTACATAATTTCTTAAAATATAAAAAAATATATTCATTTATTGATCAATTTTATTTTGTACTTACGTTTTCAAATAATCCAGCTTCTCTTGTTCGACCTTAATAAAACCCTCTAAATTACTTATTAATACAGTTTCAGTCTCTAATAGCTCCTCCATGTCGGCCAGGGATGTGTAGACCTCGCTTCGACATAGTTGTATGGAACATATCACAAAATATAGCCCCATTAGCAGTTGCAGTAGGGAGATTTGTTTTCGTTGTTGCAGCATTTTGTTGTTGTATTGTGTTAATAATTTTGTAAGAAATTTCCTATAGAAGTCCCGAGATAATTATCTGAAAAAAATAAATAAAAAAGATTATTTTTTTTAATTTTTTATATATAAATTTAATTAAACAATTTTCTCAAATGTTGAGGAATAAATTTTTCTATTATTAGAAGGTGTTGAGGACTACATTTGCCTTTTTCCAACAGATAGTAACATTAAATGCAATAGGACTTATTTTATTTCGTTAGAAAAAATCCTCAGAGCATCAGGGCCTAATGGTTACTCCTTTAAAAAAAAATCCTGGAGACCAGAGGACTAATAATATCATACACAATTATGTTATGTTGGAACCAAAGCTGTAATAAGCTTTGGTTCCAAGAGTTTTTAACGCCGTGAAATATTGGTCCCAGACCCACACTTAGGTATACCGATCGTCATATCTCAACTAACTGCGTCGATGTAGACATGCGTGTGCAATATAATTTGTAAACACAGTACAGACCACAATTATGGACCAATCGTCACGCAATTTTGCCTGTAAGTCCGTTGTTGTTTTTGATTAATATTAAGGGGACCAAAAACTTAGTTTTTATCGGTTTTTCTGGTCGCTCTGGAGGCCACAATTATGACTCAAGCATCACGAACTTTTATACGAAGAATGGGCTAGCCAAGGTATGAGCATGACACTTTTCACAAGAATCGGCCAATATTTAGCGGGTCAAATTCAAAAATTTGCATCCAATGGTTACAATTATGGGCAAAGAGAACACTTATAATTTTCGGTAGTAATCAGACTATATTTAGGGGATAAAATGAACTTAAATCTTTGTTTTTATGAGTTTTTTCAAGTCGCTCTAAAGGACACAATTATAAGCAGGAGTGGGGGATCTGACTAACTAATTTTTGATATTGATTAGCGGGTCAAATTAACCCAAGCTGAACTGCCAAATTTTCATATTTCCAGATCCAGAATTTTTCCCGGGTAAGAAAGAGGAGCTGGGAGAAAACCGAAAAGGAGTTTAAGGGTAGCTTTTTCATAATTTTTCGCACTAGGTTTAAAACTTGCTGTTATTTCGATGAGGACTATTTTTCTATATAGAAAATAATGGTATAAAGAACTTCATTTGTATAGAAGTACCTAAATATAACATTCTTTAGAAAAGAATCCTCACTTCCTGAGACATGGGGTTTTCCAATAAGAGTGGCTTTTTTAATTTTACAACGAAAAATGTAATTTTTGATAATGCCCATTATTAATAAAAAACCAGTAAGGAAAGTAGTAAAGTCGGACGGGGCCGACTATATGATACCCTTCACCACGTTGGGTATATTCAACAGATGAATCCTAACAGACGTCGCATTTTTAAAGGACCAGTAAAATGAAATTGGATCAAACAACATGTCATTCTGAAACCGATACTAAATTATATCTAACTTAACACACATGATTTTAGACCTAATTCATTACACTGTGCCAAATTCCGTGCAAATCGAAAGATATATAGGGACTTTGGTGGACCATTTACATTAAATCGGACAAAAATATATATGAGAGCTATATCTAAATCTGAACCGATTTTCAGAAAACTTAACACACATCATTGTAGACCTAATTCATTACGCTGTGCCAAATTTCTTGCAAATCGGGAGATATATAGGGACTTTGGTGCACCATTCACATTAAATGGGACGAACATATATATCGGAGCTATATCTAAATCTGAACCGATTTCCCCGAAACTTAACACACATCATTCTAGACTTTATTCATTACGCTGTGCCAAATTTAGTGCAAATCGAAAGATATATAGGGACTTGGTGGACCATTTACATTAAATCAGACGAAAATATATATGGGAGCTATATCTAAATCTGAACCGATTTGCTCAATTTCAATAGGGTTCGTCCTTGGGCCAAATTTCGTCCAAATCTGATCATAAATGCGACCTGTACTTTGTTCACAAAAATACATGGACGGACGGACAGACGGACATGCGTAAATCGACTCAGAAAGTGATTTTATGCATATTCTCAACAGGAGCCATGTGTCTATCTCGTTTCCTTTTGCCTGTTACAAACATATGCACGAAGACATAATTCCCTGTACCACGGTGTGGTGAAGGGTATAACAATAACATCGAAATGGCCAACATGACCACACACTTTTCCATCTTTGAGGTCTTGAATTGACGCTTATTATTCATGAGGCTTCGAAGTATGACTTCGCAAGGTTTTAAATCCCAAAATCACGATGGGGAATTGTGACTACCTCTCGTGAGATAACACGAACCGAAAATACAAATAGACACACGATGAGGATAAAGAGGGTTTCTCAACAATAACTCTAGGATTTTTCGAGCTCCCAGATACGACAATTTAGCCAACAAAATGAAAATGAGCCTCTAGGACCGAATCTGCAAAGGCACGATGTTGTAGATGATCGACCGACTTCAGTTCTTAATAAGTCTTACGGCCCAAATATTTATGCAAAATCCTTTGCACTGTATTTGTATTCTTAAAATATCATTTCGGAAGGGTCCCGGGAACGCTTACCCCCTTCGTAAACCCCTTGTCCTCTCTTCCTTGGTTCGACTTGACATATTCTCTTTTTTAATCATAATCTTATTGTAAAAAATCATTCCAGTAGAGTCCCTGGACTCGGCACCGCCCTTCGTACATCCCTATATTTTATTTGGGATTATTATTGAGTAGAAATGTTTCTTTGTCAAATTCATATCAAAAATCTCAAAATTTGTTCTCGATTTCATATAGCGGGAATAACAATTTGTTGGAAGCGAGAGTATATATATGTTATAGATCAGATTCCTATGAGGATCTCTTTAGTATCGATCATAAATAACATATATTTAGTACCATTTAGTACCCATAAGTACGAATTTTCAAAACTTCCTACATACCGCAATCATATGCTCCAACCGTAATATAAATTCCAAATTTCCGAATTATAGCTCTATCACATCAACTAAATCCAAATTGTATCCAATTTAGTACACATAGGTACAAATTTCGATTACTACATAAATCATACAATCCAATAGAAAATAAATTTCTGGATTCCAGACCGTCCGGTTCACCAAATCCAAATTGTACCAAATTTGGTACCATTTAGTATAAGCACGAATATTCAAACTTTTTACATATCTACACCTACCGATAAGTACATATTTCCAAAACTACATCCAATTCTACACTCCAGCAGTAACTTAAATACCAAATTTAAGGGTTCCAGCTCTGGGTCACCAATATTGTAATTCAATTTAGTACTTTTCGTACACCTAAGTACAAATTACCGGCGGTAATGTTAATTTAAAATTTCAGGATTCCAGCTCCATCCGTTCCTCCCAATTCCATTGTACCAAATTAAGTACTGCTTAGTACTTTTCGTATACATGAGTTCACACTTCAAAAAACATCTCCTTATATTGATCCTACTTCTCAACCTTGATATGCAATACTACGAAATTGTAACAAATTTAGTATATGTTAGTACTTTTCGGATATTTATAGTTCGAATTCCCAAAAAAAAAATTGTACATTTGTGATCCTTATTCCAAATTTAAGAGTTCTTACTCTATCAGTTCGGCAAATATTAGGATGGGGAAAAAAGAAATCCATTATTTTTTCGGCAATTGGCTAATAGATTTCTCGTTAAGTATCGATCATGGGGCATTTAGTTATGAGTTACAGGGTATTAAAATTGAGTGAACAAAGACAAAGGCGAAAATGCAAGCCAAGTTCCGATACTGTAACAGCCAATTATGTGCAATTTTGATTTCGTAGATTCCGTTCAGGAATTGTTAATGTTAAAGATACACCTCGCACAGGTAGGCCGCTCGTCGAAAATGTCGATAAAATCGGGGAAATGATCTAAGTTGACCGGCATGTTAACAGTCGTAACACCCAGGAGCTAAAAATCGACTATAACTGTTTTAAATCTTTTACACCAAAAAAATTGATTTCTTTTTCCCAAAACCTAATATAATGTACGTCAAACTCCTCTTATTGTAAACATGTTTGGATTTTGATTACATAATTTATTTCTAAAGGCGAGGAATCTAAAATCTAAAATGTAACATAAAATAAATTAATATAAATATTCGCATCTACATATATTATAACATTTCGAAGAATGCTATCACATTTCGCTTTGACGTAAACACGGCGCACCTTTCTAAAGAATAGTAGTCTCGTAAATGTAATAGCTTTTCTAAAATGATTTACTAATTTACTTTAGCCCAATAAAAAATGTTAAATAATCTATTTATCGAACTCTCCAATCATTCTTTGAAATCTAAAACTAAAAACACACGCTCTAATAGGCAAATATAAAGATTTAACTTTATTTGGTTTCTACGATCAGTTCAATGAACTTTAAACACAAGCGATTAATTTCGCACAATAGAACTGACAGTTACAATTCGTTCAGGGCGTCCGAAAAATTTATGCAAGCTCACTGGTGACGAGCGATTTTAAAAGAAAACAAAACAATCTCTAACACGCTAACCATTAAAGCTATCTGTAATTTGTTGTTAAACCTACGGTACAAATTTTCAAACCAAAAACCATGATTATTTTGCAATAAAATTAACAAAACAATAGGCATACGAAGAGACGCACACAAATAGACATATTAAATTTTTTTTAGAAACGAAAAAAAAGAGCATTGTGCAACATGTGAGTAATCGTGGCTTTTTGGTTGTTTTTCTTTTTTATTCCAACGGATTATTCTTTTTTTGTTTTTTCTTTTGCATAAAATTCACATTTCAATGTGAATTGTTGGATTTTTTATTTGGCAAAAGTTCTGTTAACTTGCCCTACAAAACAATAACAATACCAACAAAACAACCAGAACAGAATCATCTGGGCGCATTTTATTCCTGATTTGCATATGAATGACCATATTAAAGGTTAAATGTGGGCAACAACAGTGTTCCGAAACAAAAATTTAAATATAAATAGGGAAAATGTGTCATTTTCTATAC